TTCCACCTGTTTGGATTTGTTACACCATCATAGCAGATTTCTATTCCCACGTATCTGTATTAGATCCAGAAACACACCACATATCATGTTTAGGAATATAAACACACATTCAGCACAGAGGAACCCCCTCAGGGAAAATCTCCTCATGGTCTTAATTAAGCACTTTCCTTCTTAACGACAAGAGGACTTCTTTAATAAATTACACAAACACACAGGCACACACACAAACAAAGACATTTATTAAAAAACCCGCCTCTCTGTCTGTCTTACTGTGAATTATTTTTTTTCTCCTTTTCTCCGCTAGAAGATTATTGTATTCTTCATTAGCTCAAAAAGGCTTTATGCTGAATTAACTGTCCTGCTGTGTACCAGTGAAGCTGGGCAGCTCTTTTTTTGGTTAATGGTCAGCTATCAATGGAGAGCAACTGGTTTGATTTTCAGATAGAGGGTCAGACTATGACTGGACGACAGCAAGGATAGTAAGACGAGAACAGAGCGAGCAGATTGGATTAATGAATTAACATGCATGTCGGAAATTAAATTCTGATGATTGTATTATGTCTGGTCTTCTAGTAGTAGTTAGGATTAATATCACTAAATTAAATGATTTAGTTGATTTGAAAAGTTTGGTTTTACAAACATCATAGAGGCATAGCACTTGCTTTATCCTTACTTGCAGAACGTGTTCAGTTAAATCCACTGAAACACACTATAGTGCAGGGGTGTCCAATCCTGGTCCTCGAGGGCCACAATCCTGCATGTTTTAGATGTTTCCCTCTTCCAACACACCTGATTTAAATGATCAGGATCGTTATCAGGCTTCTGCAGAGCTTGATGATGAGCTGATCATGTGACTCAGGTGTGTTGGAAGAGGGACACATCTGAGACATGCAGGATTGTGGCCCTCGAGGACCAGGATTGGACACCCCTGCTATAGTGATACTCCAGTGATAGTTAGTTGTCCTTCACAAAATTATAAGTTATGAGACAAAAAGAAGCCTTGGACTGAAGTCTTTGTAAATTAGTGTATCTTATGTCAACCAGCTTTTACAGCATAATAGTCAACAACTGGGTAATGGCCAGATAACGTTGGGTAAGCGTCTTTGTTAAAATCTATTTATTGTGTCTGTTTCTGGTCGTAGTTACCTCTTAGTCTTTTTGTCCATCCCCGGTTGAAGCAATGATATCACAGTAAGTATTCACACACTGTTACTGTAGGCTGCAGAATGACTAGTCCGATCTAAATCACTGCCTTTTGATGAGGCTTTTCAGGTAATAGTCGGCATCACCCCAACAAAAGCTTCCAGTCGGTCAGCAGTGAAATGTTCAGTATGACTTGACTGCTTCACCTCACCGTAGCACAGGACGGCCTGCATTATTCACTACTTATGTATCATTCATACACCAGCGTCTGTGCATTAGTGTGTGTCTGTGCGCAGGTGTGTGTGTGTGTGTGTGTGTGTGTGTGTGTGTGTGTGTGTATCAGAGTACATCAGGGAAGACGCACAGTTGTCAACTAGCAGCTGTTCAATTGCTTCTCTTACTTTACTCTCAAATAACAAACAGCCTCCTACACATATGTTTGCATTTAATAGTGTTTGTCTTACATGAACCTTAAAAGTTATCATAGAAAGTAGTTACACACACACACACACACACACACACACACACACATTATTGTCAGATAAATGGCATCATCCCGATTAATGCAGGAAAGAAAAAAATCTGTGTTCCTCTTTTTTTTTGCTTTACACCCTTTCTATTTCTTTTTTTTTTTTTTTTTTTTTTATATACCTCATTTTTGTTTTTTCTCTCTCTGTGTCCGTGTCCCCTCTCTCTTCTCTTCTTTTTTTTTCTCTCTCTCTCTCTCTCTCACTCTCTTTCTCGTACTCTGTCTTTCTCTCTCGGGTCTCAGTTTAAATAATGTCTCAAATCGACTAGAACAATGACATTCCCTCAGCATGCATCTCTAATCAGCTCTCTTTCTTTCTCTGTTTGTCTTTCGCTTCATTTCACTCAGCCGTTTTCTCTACTCCCCCTCACTCTTTATTGCCTCACTTTCCAAGTATTTAATTCATTCCTGTTTGACTCTGTTTCTCGTGTTTCATTCTCTTATTTCCTCTATTTTTCTTACCGTCTCAGGTCCGTCCATCCTCCCAGGCCGGTTCCCTTCCTGCTCTCTCGTACATACATTAGTTCTTTTGTGTTGAGGACATGCAATGGAAATAAGCAATATGAATGTATTTTATGTAAATTAATCTCTACAGGAGCTACACTTCTGCGAAACACATTAGTGTGTGACATGTGCATGTGTCTGCACGGAGGGCTTTGTGTGTGAGCCCGTGTGTGCACTTTCCTCAAAAACCTGTCCATGTCATCTCTCTGAGTGAATATTCAGGACCTTTCTTCTGTCTCTGTAATATTGGAGCATAAAAGGCTGTGGGGAATATTAGCGTTTAATATTGCATGCGTTCTGTTGACTTGGATCGGCCTAGCACCATGACGGATGTTGTACTAATCTGCAGAATTTCCACAGTGACATTAAAGTGACAGAAATGCTCAGACATGTGTCAAGATGATCAACAGGGGCCTTGGAAGACACACACTTAAACTCTCTCTCTCTCTCACCCACACACTTAAACACACATGCGCACAAACGGACACACACACACACACACACACACACCCTCTCCCACTTTCTCACTCTGTCTTTTGATTCTTTCTTATGTGCACTCTGTGTCAGACTTGATCTCTCATTCTGTCACTCCGTCTCTGTGCGTCTCTCCACAGCTGATGGATTCCGTCATGTCTGAAAGCTATATCATATACTGTATTGTACATCACATCGCACAATCTATTTTCACTTGTACAATGTCTTTGTCATTTAATGGTTCAGAATGGTGTGTTTTGGGATTTACGGTTGCCCAACGTTAGTGTTACATAAGTACAAATGTGTGATTTTGGTAAGATGCAAAAAAGCTCCATACAACATTTTCTTTATTTTTTTTTTTAAACTTTCCCTGTAAGCAAAGTGTGTAACTGTGTGTGTGTGAGAGAGTGTGTTTATGTTTTGCAAGAGTTCAAGAAAAGGTGCAAAGTCCTTCCAGCAGTGAACGGTTTTACCTCTTAATTTCAAGTTTTGAAGACTTGATGAATGAATGCATCATCCAGAGATGTTCAGCAAAACCTTTTGCTTGATAGAAATATATTGTCTATAAATTGTGAAATCGACACTGTCCGTCTTTTTCTGTGTTCTGTGCATGTGCGTGTGTGTGATAGATATTGATGGCTAGTGACGTTAAGTGGCGATGTCCAAGATCTCCGTTTGTAAAGTCTGCCTCAGCAGCAGATTTCCGCCGGTGCCGGGGTTAACCGGGTTAACTTTAGATACACACAACACGGATGCGTACACACAAACATGCTCACACGTACACAAACCAGTGCCACGACCTTTCCAGTGAGAGCGTGAAATTGGTCATGGCATTTAGGATAAGATGAGTTGTCCCAGCAGATTTACACACACACACACACACACACACACAGATGCTCATGACAGGCCATCTGAATGTCCACATATCCATTAGAGTAGTCTCCTCACTCAGCAGGTTTTGTCGAAACATTCAGAGTGAAAATAAGATGTTATCCTTTCCTCTGCTTCACAGTCCAAAACACACACACACACACATTCATTCACACTCACACACACTCACACACACTCACAGGCTTCACTGTCATTTTTTCACGAATTAAACGTGACTTACAAGGAGCGAGAAAAAAAAAAAACAGGCGCGTTCCTCACAGCATGTTTCACTGTGCACTGTTTACTGAATGTTAATTTTTAGGCTGGTGCTGATTTTATGGGGTAAGAAATGTTGTTATTGATACATTGGCTGATATTGTTTATGCATATGTTAGACTTATATTGAAAAAGGAATATATCAGGGCGATCATTCATCAACTATCCACCCATGTAGTTCACAAAGTTCGCAACTTACAATGAAGACAAAGCATGACTCATCAGCTGAGATATGTACTCTGCTACATGTGCTGCGGTTGCGGAGAGTATTGCAAACAATAGAGTTGGAGGCACTCTGCTGCACAAGGTATGTGATGACACTATTTCTAAATTACCCCAAGCATCTTTTCATGTTCTGTAAAGGGTAAAGAGTTTTCATATTGGCATGTGTTGGACAGCATGGACTGATGTACCAATATATCTGATTGACCGATATCAGCCAACCAATACGTCAGTCGGCTCTAATGTGTTTAATAGTTTCTTGCCACAATCACTCCTTCCTTATTTACTTTGTCAGGGCAGCATGACGTGGTTTAAAACAAATGTCAAACGAGTTGAGAGTCCTGTAGGGCTATTTTTAAAGTCCTATTCTTAAATACTGTGAGAAGTGCTGCGGAATCAACAGAACAAACTGAATAACTTCATGTTTTTAGTTATAATATTACAGTGGACAGACCATGAGCACGAGATAAAAGCAATAGAATTAAAGCCACATAAGCTCAATCTTCCTTATGCGCTCTTCTTTTCCGCTGCCGGTACTGTGTGCAGATGATGGAGCGCCATCAAAACCTTTTGTATGAGGAAGAGAATGAACGTGTGCGCTCTTCTTTTAACTCCCAAACACCGGTCCCTCGACTAATTAGCAGGCTGGGAGAGAGGGAAGGTAACGCAATGTTGAATGAAAAGAAAAGAGAAGAAAGAAAGAAAAAAAAAAAACCTCTCCCTTTCATTTGGTATGGTAATATTTCCCGCTCACATACTCACCGTGGCTATGAGAACAAGCAGTTGGGGGACGGCAGAGAGAGGAAGGGGAGAGATGGGAAGCTGGGAGAGACGTACAGTGATTTGTTTTTCAGAAAGAGGGGAGATAGAAGAAGGAGATGGAAGGGTGGGAAGATGGAGGAGACATTAAGGAGATGGAGGAGGAATGTAAAAGGGAGACATAGAGGAGTGGAGAACTCCTACATCCCGCTCCTGGACTCGTCCCCAGCGGATGAGACGAAGAGTGATATGTGGTGAGAGCTTTCTGTTCAAAGTGCAGCAGGAAAAAGCACCTTTGATATGTGAAACGGTTTTGGGGGCGCAGAGCCGCAGATAGACGGGCCAGGCGAGCAGAGACAGATGGGCAGACGGAGGGGACAGGAAGCGTGGACGAACACAGGAGGTTACTGTAGGTATGACAACAGACAGACTCGAGGCCAAACAGATGAGCAGGCAGGCTGACGGAACAAACAGGAACATGCAAACAGCTCACGACTCCTGGAGAATTACATGTCCCAAGACACACTCTGCTGCTGTGTGTGTGTGTCTGCATAGGTCTTTATAGACTTGTTTGTGTTTGTTGGCATGTGTGTGTATATTCCAACACGTCTCCAGAGAATCTCTTGCTGCTTCATTAGTTCCTGTTAATAATCAGATAGCAGTGAGCAACACTCTGGATACTTGATTCTCACTCACAAATATACCAATATGACACCCTGTGGATCGTGTTTGGACTACCTATCTGTGGGATTTGCCATCTAAATTTTGTTAAAATCCTAAAGGTACCTTGCAAAGTTGTTTGACCACTAGTAGCACTACGGTGCAGCGTTTCCATGAGCACATCCCAGTTATTCATTTGAAAGCACCTGTGACCACACCAGTGATACGACACACATCAATAACAGATTTTATTTCATCATCATTTCTCTTTTATTGTTTTCTTTTCTGCCCCACATCATCCTCACACACTTGTGGATTGTTTTTTCTTGTCTTCTTGGTCATCCTGTCCTAATCTTTATATATTTTTTATCTCTTTCCATCACTTTTCTACATTTTTCCACTCCCCTCTCTCTCTCTCTCATATACAAAATCCCTTCCCCCCTATTTCCATCTGCACTCTCCCCNGAGAGAGAGAGAGGGCTGTCCGCTACCTGTTATGTTGCTCTGATAATTCTCAGGATGGCATTTATAAATGTTGAATGGGAACTTTCCAGTGGCACTACTGCTCTTCCATGGATAAGAGATGAAGGATGTCTGGACAGAAACTTTGAGGGAGGGAGAGCTTTTGTCATGATGTTTGCTTTCCTTTTTGTTTTCACATTTTTGCTTGTTTTTTCAGTCTAATGAGAAATTAAATGCGTTAACCCTCCTATTATCTTTGGGGTCAGTTTGACCCCATTCAATGTTTAACATCTCTAAATAAGTCATTGAAATGATTATTTCAGTTTTATTTAAAGGGGTTTTTTCCCCTTAACTTTGGTTACCATTTTTAATTATGATGTTGTCTGGAGGTTTAAATTGCTGGGGTCAGATTGAACCCAAGGATAAAAGTTGTCAGTAAACTTGAAGGTAATAGGTGGGTTCATTTTCAACCTTTTACAGCGACATGTTTTCAAGTCCTCTCAGTGTGTTTGCTTATTTTCTCGTTGTCCCTCCCTCTCTTTCTGTCATGTGGGCAGGTGTGAGTGTCACGGCCATGCAGACCACTGTGATACCAGTGTGACACCGTACCGCTGTCTGTGTTTGCCGGAGAGCCACACAAAGGGAAACAACGTGAGTAACAGCACATGTGATCACAAAAACATATAAATATTAACCTCATTTATAACCCCAGGGGTGGACCTCACACCCCTGCTTATAGATTATATAAAGTCAGATGGTGACATTGACAAGTTCCACCTGTTTGGATTTGTTACACCATCATAGCAGATTTCTATTCCCACGTATCTGTATTAGATCCAGAAACACACCACATATCATGTTTAGGAATATAAACACACATTCAGCACAGAGGAACCCCCTCAGGGAAAATCTCCTCATGGTCTTAATTAAGCACTTTCCTTCTTAACGACAAGAGGACTTCTTTAATAAATTACACAAACACACAGGCACACACACAAACAAAGACATTTATTAAAAAACCCGCCTCTCTGTCTGTCTTACTGTGAATTATTTTTTTTCTCCTTTTCTCCGCTAGAAGATTATTGTATTCTTCATTAGCTCAAAAAGGCTTTATGCTGAATTAACTGTCCTGCTGTGTACCAGTGAAGCTGGGCAGCTCTTTTTTTGGTTAATGGTCAGCTATCAATGGAGAGCAACTGGTTTGATTTTCAGATAGCGAGTCAGACTATGACTGGACAACAGCAAGGATAGTAAGACGAGAACAGAGCGAGCAGATTGGATTAATGAATTAACATGCATGTAGGAAATTAAATTCTGATTATTTTATTATGTCTGGTCTTCTAGTAGTAGTTAGGATTAATATCACTAAATTAAATGATTTAGTTGATTTGAAAAGTTTGATTTTACAAACATCATAGAGGCATAGCACTTGCTTTATCNCTTCATGAGCAACAACATGTGTCTCTCAGCCATCATGTTTTAGTTTATGCTAGAAACTCGTTGCTTTTAAGCTAATTTTCACTCTAGTCTTTGTTAATTGCAAGACCTTCTATGCATTTCCTTGCACTTTATTTATTTGCATGGACTTTTTTAAATTTTAAATTGCAGTGTGCTGACATCTCTGGACCAATGCAGTTTTTCTACATAAAGATGTTGATAACAAGTGAAGATCATTGACTCAAAATAAGGTCAATAAAGTTTTAAGCACAAAAAGTGATGTCAACAAACAACAAAGTAGTAGTTGTGAATCAGCCTTTGGAAACCTGAAACATGAATCTGCATAGGAGATTCCCTATTGTGTATCATAGGCAGAAAAGATTTTTACCACTTTAAAAAAAAAATGCATGTGGTGAAGAGATTTGTATTTGTAAAAAAAAAAAAAAATGTGCACGTGTAGAAAGGTGCTTTTGTAAACATGTGTGTACAGATACAAATGAGAAAACTGTTCGAACTCCCAAAATGTGAAGTTTGACCTTGACTTTGTCTTTACAATCTAATGACCCCAATCTGAGCCAACATGAAGATACTGGTAAATTTTAAAATGCTGCTAATGTGTTGGAAAATGGTGCCTCACTCACATGTTTTCATGATGCTATAAAACACTTTTCCATGAGTTGAGTGCTGCTGAAAGCTGGATTACGGGACATAAACATCTTTTTTGATCTCAGTATGATTTCTGTCAATTACTTTTTTTTTTTCTCACCATGTTTCTGTCTCTCTCTCCATCAGGTATGAACTGTGAACTGTGTGTAAGCGGGTTTTTCAGGCTGGAGGACTCTGATCCCACTTCAGTCGATGTGTGTCAGCCCTGTGACTGTCACACTGCTGGGACGGTCAACGGCACTACGGAGTGTGCTCAGGTACACACCAACACAAACTGCAACCCTTGTAACTTAAATTTCCTGATTGAAATGTTTTTTAAACTAAAAATCCCAACATGGTTTCTTTCTCCTCTCCACCCTAATGTCCTTGCATCTTCTCCCCCTTGCACCTCCACTCTCTTCCTTTGTGTTCGCTACCTCCAGATAGGAGGCCAGTGTCACTGTAAGGTTGGAGTAACAGGTCGTCGATGTGCAGACTGTTTGCCGGGTTGGCATGGTTTTACAGCCTCAAGTCCAAACGGCTGCGTTTCCTGTAACTGCAGCGACATGGGCATCATCAGCAGCTCAACAGAAGCAGGTCCCAGCTGCAGTCATGACACAGGACAGTGCCGATGTAAACCCCACGTCACAGGTAAACAGATTCCTGTCAAATCCTGGAGAAAGCTAGTTTTTTAAATGTGTCAAGTGGTGAAATTGCATGTGTTTAGTTGTGTGTGTGTGTGTCAGAGGAGACACTTACAGCTCCTTCTTTCTTTCTTTTATGAAGGTGTAAAACCTACTCGATCCCATTCATGATGATGATAAAATATTGGCGTGTTACAGCAGCAGCAAAACACATCAGCTACAAAATGTCTGGTTCCTAAAACAGTTTTTTTTCCTCACTAAATACTCCCAAGTACTTAGTCGATAACTTGCGCTTTTCATTAGCACAGTTATTTTTGTTTAATTGTCCAGTAACGGCGTCTTAATTAATACATAAGGGTGCTCGTTGGGGTGCACACAAAAGCAGAAGTGTATACACTGAGTGCACATGACAAACCAGGAACGCGTATATACACACTGATGAACACACACGTCCATATCCCAAAGTGTTGTGGCTGCCAAAATAAACAGGCTTTTCTGCTGGCGGTGCTTCCAGCCGTTGTGCTTCTCTTTGTGATAAATGGTTTCACTCTCTCCCCTGTGTGTCTTTGAAGACCAGACTCGTATGAAATGCAAAACCGGCCAACGCTCCTCAACTCAACGCATCATGGTTATTGCTAAGCCTTGCTATCAAGGGTCCACGTTGTGCGTGTGAGTGCGGGCATGTGTATGTGTGTAAGTGTGTCAGTTGTACTTATGTGTATGTATAAGAGAGACTGTCTGGCTCCGGCCATGTATTAATGTACTTTTGTCTTTGCCTAACTCTGTGTATTGCATGTTGTGGTAGTTTCTTTGCGTGTGCACATAAACATCTCTGTGTGTTTGTGTGTGTGTGTGTGTGTTTGTGTGTGTATGTGTGCACGCATGCCATCAAGGACTAAGCTGGTATTTAATTCTCTAATTCAATGCCAAGTTGATTAAAACAAACTGCTGCAGCCCCTTGTATTTTTCACACTCCTTCTTACAAGACCCATTTTCGTTTTTTTCTGTCCTTGTTTGTTTGGTTGCTCCCACAGGTATTTTTCAGAAATGAGATTTGATTATGGCAATTTATTACCGCCAAGCTGATACTTTGAGTAGAGCAATGGCAGGCACGCTTCAGAAGGACGGAATTGAAATGTGTGCATGCAGACGCAGATACACACACATGCAGAAACGCACGCACACTCGTAACAAGGTGCCAGAGTGCAGTGTGTACATAATAGCGTTTGAAATGGTGATGCATGAGCCTGTTAACCAGCTGGCTACTGATAAAAGGGCTGGCCATGTCCCGAAAACACACACACACACACACACATACACGCACGAGCACACGTGGACACCTCAACACAAAATTACATCCTTTCTCTTCTGATCTAATATCTTCTAACACAGTCGATTCTGTAATGTTCTCACTTGTCTTTCCTTTTTATTGACTTCTTACTTTTCCCCTTTTTTTCTGTTTTCTTCTCTCAACCCAGTTGTTTCTGTTCATGCATTTGCTGGACTTTTCATTTGAATTTCAAAAATGTGATTCATAAACTTGTTCAGCTCAGTGTCTAAAAAGTAAAAAAAAGAAGATATAATTACTTTGCTAGCATCTCGTTTTACAATACGTGTTGGAGTCTTTATAAATTATATCATTTTATTGGGAATAATCTGCACTGAGCACGATATATCAAGGCATTGTTAGGCTTGTAAACATCCGTCTGCCGGCCTGAATATTTACCACTTATACACTCGGATGTTCAGCCGCGCTTCTGCACACACAGACACATATTTCCACTGCACCGCTATGAAATATGATCTATGGAGAGAAATACATTCATATCTATAAAATCATTAAAGTGGGCAGACCAGGGGAAATGCCAAGTGTCTGCCACACACAAAGTAGGACGCACACACACACACCGACGCACACGTGGTCACGCGCGCTAACACAGATGTACAGGTATGTTCTTATTAATATATGTGTGCGCATACACATTCACACCCACCCACATATGAACACACACTCCCTCATAAACGGCTGTGGCGACTGCGTTGCCCCCAGGCATCCATTTAGGGACAGATTGCCTGTCATGGAATACGTATGGCATATTCAAATAAGCCTGCACGCACACACTGCATATCATAGTTTAACTAGCCTTAAAGCCTAGCATTGCTGCTGCTGCCGCTATAAAACCTCCTACAGCATCGACTTCGTGTTTGCAGCTGATTAGAATTATTTTGTAATTATTAGCAGAACAAAAAGGTGTTAAGAAATAATGTGTCATCATTTCTAAATTCAATTCTAAAAGTTTAAAATCTAAATTTGAAATTAAAGCTCTCTGTTGCTTTTGAAAATATTGGGAGGATGTTAAATGTTAAAATAATACAGCAGCTTACATGTTGAATAAAAAGCTGCATTTTTTTTTGCAGTCTGATGTTTCTTTATTCTTCTGTGTGTTGCTGCACAATTTTTCTTCATTGTAATATCCATATATTTTAAACATTTCCTTGTTAAAGAACCTGTTTAAAACCAATCTCAAGATGCAAGGTTTCCTCCAGAATGGAACTCACCTTTTGATAATGATTTAGTATAATTTTTTATATCCCTCCATCCATTTTTCCATCTCTCCATCCCATCTTTTTTCCTTCCCTCCATTCTTTTCTTGTAGTTGCTTAATTTATTTATTTTTTTGCTCAGTAAAATTAAGTGTTTGGCCTTAGGTGAGTGATCCATCATATGTAGAGGGCCTGGCCCTAATGATGGCAGCTTTATACACTCACCCACCATTTCTCCTGCTCTCTCTCTCTCACACACACACACATCCACACAGCTCTGGAAAACACAGAGGGGCTAAACGCTAGTTGGTGAACAAGCGAGCATCAATTCACTTTGTTATTTATTTCCTTTCTGTTTCCCTCAGTCGGTCCCACTCCGCCTTCTCCTCAGCACTTCTCTAAATACTATTTTTCTTTCTCTCTGTGTCTCTCTTTCTGGTTTCTGCTCTCTTTCCAGGTCTTTCATGTGACCGCTGTGAGTTTGGTTATTGGAACCTGTCCCACCCAGACGGCTGCGTCCCATGTGACTGTGACCCGTCGGGCTCCCTCAGTCCGTTCTGTGAGCCTGAGGGGGGGCAGTGTGAGTGTAAGCCCGGGGTGGGCGGCCAGCGATGTGACTCATGCGGCGGCGGCTTGTACGGTTTAAGACTGGAGGGGTCCTGTGCTGCCTGCAACTGCTCGCATGATGGGACGGTGCCTGGGACAGACTGTGATCCTTACACAGGACAGTGTGTGTGTAAGGCACGTATCGCTGGTTTTTAGGATATGCAATTTCATTATAATGTTAAACACTGACTGCTGAAAAAGCTTCTTTTTTTTTTTTTACAATCAGAGCGCCATGTCATGTTTGGCAACGCAAAGATGCCCTCATCAGCAACAGTTCTAGGCAATTTTAGTTAAATTGAATTCTGACAAAATGCATAATAAGGAATTCTGGATTAGGAAATGATGGTGTATTGTCTTAACTGTGCAATTTGACATTAAAAAACAACAAAACACTACACTAAAGCTATGTGTTTTTGATTTGCATGATCAAATGTAAGCAATTTTTTGGATTTTTGAAGTTAAGACAAGAAAGTTGAAAAAATCTATGCTGACATCTAATCACAAGAAAACAGGTCAGATAAACTGAACTAACAGAAGGGACAACAAGTGAGTAAATCTGCTTGTCAAATCAAAGACAAACAGGATTATCACATTATTAAAACTACTACGAGCCCTATCTTTATTGTTTGAGTGAAAGACCAGTTCAACACCTTTTTGCAGTTTTTGTCAGATTCTGGTTTGGTGGTAATGCTCAGGTCCCTCTGATAGTTAGTTACTTCAGTTTTAGCATTAAATCTTCATCTATTCTTCCATCTTTGTTTAGTAACCATTCTTTCTCCATTGTTCTTTATTAGGAACATGTGGAGGGCCGTCGCTGTGACTCCTGCCGTCATGGTTACCACACCCTGGAGCATCGCAACTCTCTGGGCTGTCTGCCGTGTGTGTGCGACTTTGGTGGAACTGTGCCAGACGGCGTATGCGATATGTTTACCGGACAATGCCCGTGCAAGGAGGGGGTGGAGGGAGCGCAGTGTACCAACTGTGCCCACAACTACTACAACAGAAGTTCAGACCTCCAGAGTAAGAGCACAGAACTGAAAGCACGATCGCATCCAACAGCTTTTAATGCTCTTTTGTAGTAGATTCCAACAGTGAAACTATGACATGTCATGCTAGATATAGGTTAAGAATTTAATGCAAGTTAGTTAGTTTTTGTTCTTCTTGTTGGAATGTTGGTGGTGTTGTCAAAGGTGTGACAGTTTGAGAGAAAAAGTGTAAATCCATTCAACCCTTCTGACGTTGTTCTGTGTCCTGTTAGAGGGTTCGTCCCAGGGCTGTGTACCATGTATATGCGACCCCAGAGGAACAGTGGCAGGGTCAGTCTGCGACAGCACCACTGGGCATTGTGTTTGTGTCCCTACACGCTATGGAAAAGACTGCAGCAGCTGCCGACCCGGTGAGTTAGAAGAGTGGCTGGATGGATGGATGGATGGATGAACAAGAAATTTGGGGCGTAATTGGACAAATAAATGTACTAGAAACATTAATGTCAAAAGGTCAAAACACCAATAAATGGTAACGGTTCTGGGTGGTCAATTGGTAAAGATCCAAGACTGGTACTTCAGACATTTAGTTTTTGTTCTGTGTGTGTGTTGGTATGCCAGACCTCCAGTCAATGATCATGCAGGTTATACCATTTCTGCACCATGTAAAGTCTTCTCACTCCTCTCACTTTGTGTGCGCATGCATGAGGTGGGGAAATAGCATTCATGTGTATTGGGGGACAATAGGTCACAGATGTTGTTTTGTGTCAGTGGTGAAAAGGGAACGACATCATCTTAACATTTTCTGACACAATTTCTGAATATGTTTTGATGAAAATGTGTAGAAAAAAAAAAAAAAAGAACAACAGAGGACATAAGATAATAGTTACTATCTTACAAATACACCTAAACTCTAATCCACCCTGTATTCAGTTCTGTTATGGGGCAACATTGATGTAAAATGTTGCTATAATGTCAGATTTTTTTTTTTAAACTCCAGTATTTCATTGCATTTGCCAAACTCGATTCCCACAAAAGTGCCTGTTTTAATTTCCTCAACTGCCAGTTTGTGACATGGTGTAAAGCCATTGGGTATTCTCTGCCCAAGTGGCTAAATAGAATATCTAATTTGCTTATTACCTGGCTGGCCCTGAGAAGAATAAACTGAATTGATTTGTACTTTGGAACCTGGAGTGCTTAATGTAACCTCACAAATATTTATTGGCTTTGTGTTAGATTTTATTACAAATAAACAGCAAACAACAGCAAACAACACCTCCTATTAGGGATTAGCAGGGGCATAAAATGGCTGCTTCCAAATTGTATTAGGCTGCCTCCAAAATCAGGTACTCATACACTGTTGTGAATCTGCACTGGAACGCTGTTAGTGTGATGTTGTCAGTTGTGCAACAAGAGGACAAATTTTAGGCTGTTTTGCATCACAACACTGCATAATGGCTTGTTCACTGGTTCATAAAAATACATTGTGTTGTCATCTGAGTGCACTACATAGTGGGCTCTGTTTGTTTTCACTGGATAATCATTGTGTACAAACTCTATGAGATACATATAAGTGGGTATATGGTGGTTATTCAGTCATTTTAAATGCAGTCAGACATTAGAGTTTGACATTAAAAGAAAGGAAACCAACAGAAAAGTGTGAGTTGTGTTTTCAAAAATCATTAAGCATCATCAGGAAAATTTCACCTTTGAGGGAATAAACAAAGGATAAGAAAACAAAATAAGAAGAGAAGAAAGAAATTAAGTAAAATAATGCACCTAAACACAGATGAAGATGATATTAGAATTAGAATTAGAATAAAAATAATAAAATATAATAAAACGTTATTAATCCCTTCGGTACAAGACCTCAGGGAAATTGCTACACTGAAAAACAACACAACACCAACATAAAATCAGCAACAAAACAACAGCATTCAAAATTCAATCAAATCAATCAAATCCAAATCCAAATCAAATCAGCATTCAAATTCAGTATACAATATACAGATACTTGTAACATATTGCACAGTCTGGTGATAGAACATGATGCTCTGTCCCACCCAATGTCCTCACTCCTCAACCCTCGCCCCCCTCCTCTCCTCTATGAAAATGCCAGATGAGCAGTCAGACTTCCCTGTTTGTTTTGTTGTAAGATCCCTTTACTTTATTTCAAATGTGTCTTTGTGCAGGTTTGTACCTCCATCCAGATCAAGGTATTTGTCTGGAGTGTGACTGCCATCCAATGGGAGCACTGCAGCGTGATTGTGAGAGCCAGACTGGACAGTGTGCATGTGCACATCGCTCAGTGGGAGGACGACGTTGTGACCAGTGTCGTGAGATGTTTTTTGGATTCAACCCCGGTCTGGGCAGGTAATACTGGCTTAATCACTCACACACACAGATGACACAATATCTGTCGGTTGTACGTCTTGTAAAGTTTTTATCCATTAATGCACCACCTGTATAAACACGCGCTCGTGCACACATGCAGCTGTACATACGAGCACTCACGCCAGCAGGTGCAGTCTCTGTTAAGACTGTGTGCAGACAGGTAGGCAGACATATGACTTACATGAGTTAAGAGCTGCTTTGACCTTTGCCGCTCATGTCTCTACCTGCAGGCTGTCTCTCACACCCACAACTTAAAACACGCATACACAAATGTAACGGTACACTTTACACCCCAATACCAGAGCGCAACACGCACATACGTTCCTCTCAACAGGGCGTCATAGCAGATAGATGCTCCGCAAACTGTTTGAGTAGTGGTCTAGCGTGTGTGTGTGTGTGTTAGTTGACCTTGCCTGATTGCTGTATTCTCCAGTGTTAAAACATTAAGGATGAGATCAGGCTGTGGCTGAGATCTCTTCACGGTAGAGAGGGATGGAAGGATGGGGAGAGAAAAATCAGCGGAGTGAAAGTAAAGAGTTTGCTTTACAAGGGCAGAAGGGAAGGGGAACACTGGGAAGAAAAGAGTGTAATAATTAAAATATGACAGAAAAATAGGGATGGGGTCATCCTCACCTGAGTAGATAGCAACAGTAACATGGAGGGGGGACAGAAACAAAACATGAATTAACTAAACCCATTACAGATCCTTCTTTCTCTGCATCCTTCCTTTACCTTTTCCTGCATTAACTTCTTTCTTTCTACAGGAAAAAAAATGACACCTTAAGTCTTGAGTTATTACTGGCGAATGCTTTTCTTGTGCCCAGAGTCACTCCACAATAAGGATTTCTTCATCTAAATATCATCAAGTAATTAATCCTCCCGCTTCAATCAATAGGCTTTACACAAATGAATTTACACACACACACAGATTGATGTGCGAGCAGTTGGCAGAAGATGTAGTCTTACGGCTCTATAAATATGATGGTAATTCTGTCAGGACTGATGAAATACTCTCACATATGCACACTCACTTGTACATACAGTCGTATCGTATGGGATTACATATGTACCGTGTGCACTTTGTAATAAACTAAGAAGGTCCCAGTAAATAGCTATATAAAACAAATTTGAGAATAATTTCTTAAATACGTGACGCATGATCTTATTGTGAGAATTTTATGCCCATCTAGTTGAAATCTTGTTGAATGTTTATCAGTTACTGTCTATGATATCATCATTAGCATGTTATATGTCATATGTAAATACTCTGTCTGTGTTTGTGTGTGTGTGCGTGTGTGTGTGTGTGTGTGTGTGTGTGTCTGACACACACGTTTTGCACTTTGAGGCTGATGAAAAAAGAAAGACTTGGTGTTTTCTTTCTCCTTGGGATTGGAGTGAAGGTCGAGTCACTGTGCCTTTTTCTAGCCTGTGTGTGTGTGTGTTTGTGTGAGCACCAGTTGACGGGACAAATTTGCGGCTCATTATGAGGCTGTGGCTTTTCACACTGCAATAAAGAAGGTGTAGTGGTGTGTGTGCGCGCGCTTGCATACATGCATGTGTGTGCGTGTGTGTATGTGTGTGTGTGTGTATGTGTGTGTGTGTGTGTGTGTGAGTGCGTGTGTGTACATGAGAGAGACACACAACATGTGAGTACAGTATGTGTGTGTCAGTACCATGGTCACTGTCACTCTGCCAGTGTGGTGTGTATATGAGTGTGTGCCAAACATCTACCAACAAGCAGATTGTGGTGCGTGCGTGTGCGTGCGAGTAAAGGTGTGAGGTGGCTGGCCGGATGATCACCCACTGCCCAGCCCCTGTGAGGTTAACACCACGCTGGTGACCCAGACACATGCACCGTCAGACACACACACACACACACACACATATGCACACACACTCTGACAACTCTGAGGGGGGAGGCAGTTTCTGTGAAGTTAGTTTCACAGTTAAAGGGTGGTGGGTGGGATAGACTGTAGTGAGGGTCTTCCTCACAGTGTTAAGGAGTGGACCCAACACCTTTCAGAGACACACACACACACACACACACATATCCAACTATCTCAGGTTATCTTTGCTTTGATTTATCTTTGCAAACCAATTCAGAGACATTTAATGATGCATTTTCTTTATTTTCTGCCTACCACACCAAAGCAGGAGGTTTTAGAGAGCAGCTGTTTTGTAACAATTCAATTATCCCACCAAAGAAGCAGAAGGATGCAGTGACAACTTCTCTGCAGTGATTGGTCAATAAAATATTTCAAACATCACAGGAAGTCTGTTGTTGATTAAAAACAACTATTACAATAACTTAAAATGTCTTTTATATTTTGCATGTATATCTTTGTACGTTGGCAGTACTGTGTGTGTCAACATTTTGGCATTATTTTCAACTAGATAAAGTTATAAATCAAAGTTGTAGATTGAACATCTTCGTGACGTCTCTCTTTCTTCTTTGATTGTGCGACCAGATGCCTTCCTTGTACATGTAACCCAGTGGGAAGTGTCAATGGTTCGTGCCATCCCGACACAGGGGAGTGTGTGTGTAAGCTGCTGGTAACTGGAGACAAGTGTGATTTATGTCATCCTGGAGCGAGTCATTTGGATCCTGAGAATCACTTTGGCTGCAGTAAAGGTCTGTTTTACATGTTCATAAACACACACACACACACACGAGCACACCCACTGACTTATGAGCATATATTCCTCAGTATATGAATGTTTTGATATGAAATTTAAGGTGATATCACATTTTACTTTTTGTGTTAATTATATTAGTCGTCAATTTTGGAGATTTACAATATCAGCATCTTGACTGGTGTCACAGATAAAGGCTTTCATATGAAACGTTGTCACTGGCCCAAAATGAACACTGGCTCTGGTTGAAGGCTTGCAGTTTAAAAAAAAAAAAAAAAAAGTACTTGTAGTAGGTATGGCATGTTTTATGTGCAAGTTGAAGTAGTTTAATATACCGTTGATTGTGTACATTTGGAAAACATTGAACATATTTTATGTCTGCGTCTGCCAATGGGCTGTCACAATAAGAACAGGTGCAATAATACAGTAATTCCACTACAGGAGAGGCTTGATGTTCTCTGCAATCAGAAAACAGATGTACATGTATCAGCAATCGGCCAAAAGAATTTGAAAAATATCAGCATGTCGGATCTCAGCAGAAATCCATCCCTGATCAGTTTCATCCCTGTTACTGTTCATTGTCAATATCAATCACTGTTTTTCTATCTCTGTCTTTGCAGCACCTTCCCAGCAACCTGCACCAGTCGGTTTTGCTCTCAGTTTCTCCTCCATTCATGTCTCTTGGCATCCGCCCGACTCCCCAAACTCAAACAGACTCAACTACACACTCATCAGGGATGGACAGCCAGTGCACACCATCCAGAGACACTATCCTTTCAGTATGTATTCACACAGCTTTTTACACATTATTCTTTTTTTTTTTTGTTAATATTTCCCACATGTGGCCTAAACATTGTTTTTCTTAAATTGTGTCTTCTCTCAATCCAAGATCATATTTTAGCTTATTTCTTCTTTTTTTCACTTTCTAAGGCCCTGAGTCATTTGAAGACATCGGTTTGTTTCCCTTTACCAACTACACTTACTGGCTTGCAACAGCTAATGTAGCTGGTGCGACGATAAGTGCTCCAGCCTCATACCAAACTTTAAGTGCAACACCGGACGCAGACCAGCTCCACTTAAACCTTGTGGGACGACCGGGTCCTACCAGTGCTAGCTTTAACTGGAGCACACCAAGAAACGATACAGGCCCAGTGGAAAGGTAAGGAGGGAGGGAAAAGAGAGGACATTGTGGAGGGCAGAGACAGTTTACACTTTAAACTTTAACACTCCAACATTCAAACTCTAACAGTTTTCAGCTGCTCTGTCTGTAGTCTCTTGTCGTGGTTCTGACTTAAGTTGGCTGCCAGAACACTACAATGATCAGTGAAATTTGTTCATTTAATAAATTAGCAGTATATGAGGTGTGTCAGAAAAGTTCCAGGACTGGTGTCACAAAAGATATATTTCACATATTGTCACAAAAGATATATTTCAAACACAAACTACAAATTTTCCCCTTTGAAGTAATCCCCTGGAGTCTAACACACTTCCCCAGCCTTCTCTGCCACGCCCCCATGCACTCCTGGAAGGATTCTTCCAGGATCCGTCATCACAGCCATCTTGATGTCGTCCACGTCTTCAAAACGGGTCCTCTTGATGACCCCCTTCAGCTTGGGGAAGAGAAAAAATCCCACGGAGCCAGGTGGGGTGAGTAGGGAGGTTGATCCAGCATGGTGATGTTCTTCTCAGCCAGGAACTATGGGATGCTCAGGGCATTGTGAGCAGACGCGTTGTCATGGTGAAGCAGCCACGACTTGTCCTGCCACAACTCGGGCCTCTTCTCGTGCACTGAATGAAGCAAACGCCGCAGGATCTGTTTGTAGACGTGCTGGTTGATCGTCTGAAGGGGAAAACTGGTAGTTTCTAGTTTGTGTTTGAAATCTATCTTTTGTGACACCAGTCCTGGAACTTTTCTGACACACCTTGGAGTATAAAAATCGATGGAGAAGCCAACTACAATGTGACCTGCTGGAGCCTGTCTTGGAGAAACAAATTGACAACTAAGTGAATTAAGCAGTAGGGGACTTTAGTTAGTTTCAGATCAGTTATTCAATAGTAGAAATTATAATTCTTTCCTATGTGGAAAAGTTGATGGAGGAGTACCTGCCTAAAAAGATGGACTTGAGAGTATTAGTAAGTAGTATGACACAGTAGGGACAAGATAGTTGAAACTAGGATGGTGGCAGGATGGGTGAGATAAAGAAGAGAGTTCTAAACAAGAACAAAAACAACTGAGTTATAGTTCTAGTTTTAGCATTTAACTGAACCACATTATGAAACCAATGCAGTGACATGGAAAGCAATGGAAACATGAAGAAATGAGGAACTGATTGTCACAGTCTTTGTCTCCCATAGGTTTGTGTTATCATCCACGGAGTCATCTAGTGGAGCAGAGTCCTTCATTCACTACGCAGGCTTATCTACAGAGGCTGTGGCAAGCGGCCTGAAGCCCTTCACCCACTACACAGTCACACTGGAGGTAACAGCCAGTGCTTTTAACACAAGTGATGGTTCTCATTCCGAGTAAAATGATGTATCAGTGAAGCTGCTCAATCTTCTGAAAAATACTGCAAACGTGCTTGAACCACAGTTTTTCGACCGATGCATGTTTTCAGCATGAACTGGCTAAAGATGAACTGTTAACCTTGTCTACAGGCTTGCTCTTCTGGAGGTTGCGCTTCTAGCCCGCCGCTGTCTCTTCTGACAGCTGCTGCCCCCCCACAGAACCAGCCTCCTCCCAGAGTCACTGCTACGGGACCTCATACACTGCATGCTTCCTGGGAGCCCCCCAGTCAGCCAAATGGTACGACCCCAAACATACAGAACGTCTTGCACCTTATACAGAAAAATATACACAAACTGGATGCACATTTGCACAACTAAGAATACGCCATGTTTATTTTAAGTATGTTACAATTACATGACAAAACGAATATATAAATTATTAACGTCTGTGTCAGAATGAATAATACAGCAGAATAATCACGCAAACATACAGCACACATTTAGTAAACTAACATGAAACACTTGCCTAGTGGCATGGCTGTAGGCTTGTGTCATTCAAGAAGTATGAGAATCAACCAACACACACACACACACACACGCAGAAATACACAGTGGACTGGAACTGCCTTTGGTAAATCCAGAGAGCTTTGTAATGGCTCTAAGGCTCAGTGTCGTACAAAGCCCTGTAACCTGGGTTTCTCTCTGTTTATGTCTCTTGTTTTTCTCTCTCTGTCTGTTAATCTGTTTCCCTCCCAGCGTCATACTAAGCCCACTTACATGGGTTCCTCTGTGTCCCCCTAAAATAATGTTTTCTCTCATCAGTTAATTTATTACAGCATTCTTTTTCCCCCTCGCCATTTTGATTTGGCCATTTCTCCCAACTGCACTTAATCTTAACGTTATTCGTCCTTTTTCTTGAGCCGAGGTTGTTCCCTTAATATCGACGTTTTTCTTGAACGTACCTGTGGTCGCCGCAACTACAAATATGGCTCATTCCAGCTTTTTGAGAAAACATGGGTTTGAATGAGGATGTACGACAGTAAAAGCAGTCCTTTCATATTTTTGTTTCTTTTACATGTGGTCATTGATTTTACTGGAAATAAATAGTGATTGGCTGGAAGAGATCGTTTTTTTTAATATACAACACAATCGTCCATCTGCCAACACTAGTTTCTGTCTTTTCTCTTTAAGTGGGGGATACAAGCACAGTGTGTGTCTGATGGTCACTGAGACCTTCTCAGTTCGTTCTTAAAGTGAGGAAGCGCCACAGTAGTGGGTTTGTACTGTGTCTTAGGTTATGTCATTTGTTGTAAGGTTTTCAGCACTCACTAATATGGATATTTACAATTTAGCTTTGCTTAATGATGCCCTTAGTGCTCTTTTTAATAAATATCCATCCATCCATCCATCCATCCACCGCTTAATCCTCACTAGGGTCGTGGGGGGCTGGAGTCTATCCCAGCCGACTTAGGGTGAAGGCAGGGGACACCCTGGACAGGTCACCAGTCCATCACAGGGCTACACTTAGAGACAGACAACCAAGCACACTCACATTCACACCTACGGACAATTTAGAATCACCAATTAACGTCAACATGTTTTTGGACCTTGTGGGAGGAAGCTGGAGAACCTGGAGAGAACCCACTCTGCACAGGGAGAACATGCAAACTCCACACAGAAAGATCCTCGGTGTCCTCACTGGGATGCGAACCGGCGACCTTCTTGCTGCGAGGCGACGATGCTAACCACCGCTCCACCTTGCAGCCCTTTTTAATAAATATAAAAATGTGAAATTAATGTATCATTATTGGAGGTTTTAAGAACTTTTACACTCACAGTCACTGTGAAAACTCATGAATCATAGAGTAATGCAAGGTCCATTATAAATTGTCCATTTTCCAACATTTAGCGTGTTTATTTGTGAGATGGAGAGGATAGTCAGTAGTCACTAATAATGGTAGCATTTTGTCTGGTGGTTGTCTAAAGATAGTTTACTGTTGGGACATGAGGTTTCAAATAAAGCAGCTGTAGAACCCTCTCGATATGTACTTTATTTATATTACAAGGGAGGCAAAGGGAAAAGGCAGACATGAAAAAATATCCATGTAAAGGGAAAGGAGTAGTGAAAAGGAAAGAATGAAGCAAGTGAGTTAAAGACGCACCATCTGTTGACAAAGGTTCCACACAAGGCTGCTCTATATTATTTGATTTTATTTGAATTTTATACTTACAACAACATTTGGACAGTCCTTTATTCCATGGTGAGTCTCTAAGTCCCTCATTGTATTTTGGTGCTGCTCTGTCCTCATTCTAACCCAGCTCTCTTATTTTCCTATTAACAAGTGGAATGGAGTCTGTGAGAGCAGGACAATAGTCTGGTCCCCACCAGAGAGCAAAACAGTAAAAATGTGCTGCAGTGTTTCCATAACAATCCCTGTAGCTGCAATTGTTGCTTTCCATATTTAATTTCAGAAATAACTTTTTTTTTTTTACCTAAGTCCTCACAACTAATCACTCGCAGGCTGCTTTGGTTGAACTTTTCTTTCCTCTCTGTACAGGTGTTATCACAAGGTATGAGGTCTTTCTGCGTGGACCAGTGGAATCGCAGAACCGTTCAAGTCTTGCTACTGAGAAAAGAGTGTTCTTCAGCTCCGGTTGGCTGGATCCAAGTGTTTCTCCAGAAGCAAAGCTAACCAATAGAAGCGCATCGTCACCCCCTGAGAGCAGCACCATTGTAGCCGGTCTGCAGGCGTTTTCAACCTACCAACTGAGAGTTGTAAGCATCGGTACTGCAGGAAGTGTCACATCAGAGTGGACCACAGCACGCACCATGGAGGGAGGTTTGTATGGACTATCATCATGGTTAAACTCCACTTTGTGTTATTTAAACATGAGGAGTATTTGAGCTTGACGAAGCAAAATCAGTTTGGATTAGGTAGGCAGTAGGGCTGTAATGATTAGCATTTTAAAAACAGCGGTGCATCATGAAACAACATTACTTCATGGTCTTCAAAAAAGGTAATTTATTTGTTTAACCCTATTCAGGACTTTCATGTTGCCATCCGTAGAAGGTCTTTCAGGATTCATTGGACCCCAAGAAAGAAAGTGTGCAAAATATTTGTTGGTATTCATTATAGACTTTTATACTATGTTAAATACATTTTCTGATAAGTATTTTTGGTTCTAAATGCATAACAAATGTTCCTCTTTTTATGTTAAAAAAAAAAAAAAAAAAAAACTTCAAAAATAAAAAAACAATACCTGTCACCTAAACCAAATGGCCTAGGGTCCAAAAGACCCCAAAAGTCCTGAACAGGGTTAAAGACAGATTCTTTGCCAACTGGCAACCCATCACTGTCCTGTGAGAACTTTTATAAGCTGGATTTTCTCCCATAGCCATTCATTGGTGGCTCCACAAAAATGGTACCACATTTGTATTCTCATTCAGTAACATACAAAAACAAAATCATACATATATATATATATATTTTTGGAAGAAATCATGGCCAAAAGTTTGCTGCCTTTATGTGGGGTTACCCAAAGTTGCCCCTCAGCAGCAAAGTAGTTAGATTTTAAAAATTACCTGAAACGAAGCCATAATGACCTCAGAATGCTTTGATGTTGTCGTTTGTTGCACGTAAAAAAAAGAAAATTGTAGGCAGATAAATTGCTGTGAAATCCCAGATCAAAATACTCACCAAAAAAAAAAAGTGGCAATTTGGTCAAAATCTCCCTCCACCTTATTCCCTGGGTGTATAAAAAATTGTATTGAATAAAAACAAGCAAACAAACAAAAAAAAACATTTAAAAAATGTGGATGTTAGATGAGAAGACAGGAAGTGAAAAAGGAAAGAGGAAATAAAAACTGCACGTGGGGGAGGGGAAACTCATTAAGGTATTTGAATTTCAAAGAGATGATATGGCTCATTAGGACTAAACGATTGCCTCCAACATCACTCTAAGCTATGTGTCTGGATAACAAGCATATGATAACACCATCTTAAACGTGGAATGTGTGTCCGTGTTTGAGCGCGTTCATGTGCTGTGTTAGAAAGACAGAATATGACTGTGGTTATGTCGACCATGAATCACATTTCACAGCATATTTCACAGTTAGATGCCATCAACAGTAGAATAAAGAATCATTCTCTCTAATCTGTCATGTAATTGTGGCTATCACAACCGTAGAATTATGGAACACTTAAATCCATTAAGTCCACATAATATCCACTAAGTCTTGATTTTTAATGTGTGGCTTTGTGTCATATTTAGTTTTTTTTTTGTTTTTAATGAGCTCTAAAAGGATAATTTTTATTGTGTTAAGTGTCACTTAAGGGGAAAAAAAAGTCACCAAAATGTTAAGAAATGAAAAATTGAGCAGCATTATCCTTTACATCTCAGAGATTAGCAACAAATAAAGAAAGGTTATACTCTCAGATACACATGATCTAAGGAGAAGTCCGTCTTCTTTTACTT